AATCTTGGAATTCGAGAAATTGGACTTCATGGGCAGAAACTTAGTGGTGACCAGCTAGCAGCCGACGATTTCCACCATGAATTTAAAGAATTTGTTTTAAAAGCAGAGCTATCTTTTGAACAAATTTACAATTCCGACGAATTGGGACTTTTATGGAAATGTCTTCCCACTTGCACTTTAGCATTTAAAAGTGAAGGTAAAGCAGCGGGTCATAAAAGCAGCAAGGAAAGGATCACTATCATGTCTTGCAGTAACGCTACCGATGGACATAGACTTATCGTCAAAAAAACCAAGATCTTTCAAAGGCACAAGGATAGAAAATTTGCCCGTTGATTACTTCAACCCCTCCAAAAAGGGTGGATGAACTGAAACATTTTCCAAGAATGGTTCAAAAAAATATTTGTTCTTCAAGTGCGTAAACATCTTAAATCGAAAAACCTGGCTGAAAAAGCTGTGCTATTGATCGATAACGCATAACGCGCCTTCTCACCCAGCAACAAGCGTGCTAAAGTCTTCTGATGGACAAATCTTTGCAAAGTTTCTCCCCCCAAACGTTACTACGCTAATCCAACCCATGGACCAACCACGGAGTCGTTGCAACAATGAAGAGAACATACCGAACCAAGCTGCTAATGACCAGAATTTAAAAAGGTTATGATTTGAAAGAGTTTTAGAAACACTACACAATTTTGGACAGCATCTACGATCAAAATCGTAAAAACAACCTTGTATTTACGATTTTGATTGTCACATTAGCGTGTTTCTCTTCTACTCTAGCATCTACGATATTGCATCTGCATGGGACTCAGTGAAACCATCAACCCTCATAAAAGCATGGAGAAAACTCATGCTTAATGTTGAAGCCAACAACAACCTAACCCCTTTGAATTGTGAAGAAGTGAATGAAGATGTAGACACGCCCACGCGCGACCACTTGCCGATATGGTGAAAACAGTTCCGTGTGGTGAGAACGTCGATGCTGAAAACATTAACGAGTGATTGGAGTGTGACGTGAACGAACCTGGCTTTGAACACTTGACAGATGATGAAATTGTGAAGAAAGCAAGGGGAGAGACCGATAATGAAGGACAGCAAAGTGAAGGAGACCAACCCACTGTGCAGATGCGGAAGACTCACGAAGCGGCTTTGCAACAAGTCGACAGACTCCTGAGCTATTTGGAAGAACAAGACAACGCTGAATTGGCCGAGAAACTTATGCTACGAAAAATGCAATCTCGGATCAAGAGAAAATGCTTCCAAAGCAAGAAGCAAACACAAATGACTGATTTCTCCAAAAGGGTGTAATTTTACAGTTATGCTTTTGTAATTACATAATACATTACAGTATTAAAACAGTACATATGTATTAATTTTTCTATGTATCCTTGACGTCTCTCGTAAGCACAAAGTACTTTTCTTGTAAGCACAAAGCATTTTGTTAATGAAAACTTTTCTGTTTTCATTAACAAAATGCATTTTAGGTTAGTTTTGAGTGATATACTAAAATATTAAGCGTTAGTTAAACATTTCCTGCTGTTTATTTTACATATGTATTGTACATAAAACAATTTTTCAAAGTTGGAATAACTGTTTTCTCTTTTGCAATACCCATTTTTAGCTTTTTTTGGATTATCCGCGATTTTTGTTACCCGCGGCGGCCGCGCCACCCAATTCCGCGGATAACCGGGAGTGTACTGTAGTTCTTTTATATATAATATAAATATGGATAGATTACTTAAGGAACAGTAGTAAAATGGTAATTGTATGCAGATATAACATTACTAAATACTTGAATTATAAAAAAATGATGGTAAACATAATATAGTTACTTTTGGAAATTCTCCAAATCAAAAACAATTAGAAACAAAACTTAAAATAACAGATTGATTTCTGGATAAAAAAGTGAAATTTCTAAAATTATTATCTGTACTTGATAAAAAAAAATAAATTATTCTACGGAACATTAACAGCACCAATTTATAGCAAAAATATATACATCAGAAATTGAAAAAATTGGATTCCATGAAGACAATTTAAGTTATACAATCTCTTATTCCACTAGCACTTAAATACCTCATATAATATCTCATCCTGATTATAAAAAAAACTTGCTAAAAATTATTAAGTACATTATGCAAAAAATATAAAATGGAATTTTACGAGCAATAAGCAGAATTTTTAAAGTTATAATTTGAAATTTTAAGGGGGAGGGAGATAAATCTCTTTTCTTTGTGATATACATAAAAATGCACACTATTACTCTCAGGAAATATGAAACAAAAGAAAATTATACCTAATTTAAAAACTAATTATAACATTTCTTTATATTATAATATTATAAAAACATATTCCATTAATATTTATATTACTTAAAATATGATTCTTAAAACTCTGGAGTTAGTTGAGGTTTCTACAAATTCAATTCGATTAAATATAAATTAAATAAGAGAAATAAAAAATAAAAATTTAGTAAAAATGTTATTTAAAACTTTAATAAAATCAAATCATTTCTATGATAAATCAAGAATATTTTTATTACCTATTTTTATGTTAGGGGGCTGGCCATACATGACAGCCACCTAAAATAGTTACTGTAAAAAAGAATAAAACTGAGTAATACTTTTAATGAGTCTAGATAGGGTAATTTCATTGGTCCAGCAAGTAATTAATAATAAGAGAGACTTGTGTTTATTACTTTTAAATTGTTTAGTTTGTTAATCAATGACAGATAGATTAAATTCAGAAGAAAAATTTTATATCTTACTCTTTGCCAAATGGCAAACTAGCATGTGTAATATTTTATATCAGGCATTGGCAACACTTTTAAATCACTGAATTTTTTATTAAGTTTGAAAAACAAATGTCTTATCTTTTGCTGAGTAGCAATACACATCTTTTAAATTGCTTAGTTTTTTTATTAAATTCGAAACATAAATATCTTATGCTTTTCAGAGTGAAAACACATTGCTTTTTAATTTTCCAGTTTGTTTATCAAAAATTCCTTAAATTTTCAAAAAATATAAAATTAATCAAAAATTTCAAAATTTGGCCTTTGGGATTCTATATATTTAATTATTTTAACTAATTTTAAGTGCTCTAAAATTATGCAAATAAAATCACTCAAATTTTCATTTTCAAAACCTTTTCTAAATAATCTGAAGGAAGTTCTCTAAATTTTGCCCTGCTATAAGATATAATTTTATGTATATTATCCATTAAAAAGTTAAGAAATAATAATTAAATAACACCTCAAACAATATTTTCAGCACAATCTTATCTTGAACATAAACTATTGAAATACATTTTCAATATAAAAACAGCCATGCCCTGGGAATTCAGACTCAAAAGAAAGGAAAACAACATGAATAGAAAGAAAATATAAATTCCTTTTTATATAAAAATAAATGTACCCATTGAAGCTTAAACTTTTATTTTTTAATGCATCAATTCCTCCTGAACTTCCAATAGCAGAACAATAAATTAGGTACTATTCGGTTTTGAGGGCTGTAAAAAAATTGCAGTGAAAATGTATACGCAAAAGCACCAAATCTAGCAAACGTACCCAATTTAACAGCTCGCCAAATCTAGCGTACACGTTGATTTCAGATTGCATAAGTTTACATAGTTCTATATTTCTTAAGATGCCATTGACATACTAGTTTAATTTTTAAATCCTTTTTTGATATCCTATGGATTTAACAATTTGGGAATTGCCCCATGACGAAAAGTCGGCAATAGAATTTTGGGTAAAGTCCAGAATCACCCACTACTTGACGCGTTTTTAAGAATTGCACATACTCGGTATCCATGTGCACATCGAACTATTTTCACTTAAAAAAAATCCTAGAATTGCACAAAAATGGCACTGCGCACACCCTTGACTTTATCTATGTACATATCGACCTATTTTCACTTAAAAAGTAAAAGAAAATTGACAAGAATTCCATTGTTTTTACCCTTGTAAAAAGTGGCAAACAAATACCTGAGCGATTCTGCACTTTAACGAGAATATTTTCAAAGAAAAGGCATCATTCATTACAGAAAATTACGTTTGAACAACCAACAAGATGAAATTATGCTTTAGCGATAAGTCGGTAGCGAAATAGGGATACAGGCATCCATTCAGTTATGTTTAGCAATTTTTATACAAATTATAATAATGATCTGAAATAGTTATTTACTCTTATGATTCAATTCAGTCATGTTTAGCCTTTTTCATATAAATTATAATAATAAAAAAGTATTATATGAAATTAACCTTTCATCTAAATTAAAACATAAATCTTAGATATACTATTATACTTCCCTTCTTGCCACAAATATTAGGGTTGCCGCAATTATTTTTGGCAGCATCGGCATCAACAATAGTTTGGCAATTTTTTACGGCCCTCAAAACTGAATAGTACCATAAATTATTATATAACTTAAATTTAAAAAAAATATCAGAAAAGTTCTTGAGAACAGCAGTTGTCAAGAATCGTCCGTAGCAGAAGTTGCAAAGTGACCACTACTATTCTTTAAAATCAGAAAGGCAAGTTGCCATTCAATTTCTTAGAAAGGGGAGCAGCAGGTAATGCAAGTGTCTATGTAGTAAAAGTAAAACATTTATAAGCCACTTTCAGAACGCCAAATCCCTAGCTGCTAATCGAAGGTATTTTGCTTCAAAATGATAATAATGCTTGTCCATATGCAGGTGTTTGATTACATTTTTTTTTTTTTTAATTGGAAGATGTTGGACCATTTGCCATACAATTTCCAATTATCAAAAAGCAATTTTCATCACCTTTCCAATTCTAAAGGAATATCTTGGCAGATGCCCATTTCAAAAGGGAAAAGGTGCTAAAATAGCAGAGATGTTAAGACTTAATATCCAAGACACAATGAGACTAGCAAATGCTCTCCTCTGTTTAAACAAATACTTCAGTAGAATTCTTCACAAAAGATGAAAATTTTAGTTGCTGTTACACTAGACATAAACATTTCATGTAAAATATACATACTGTTCATTTTCTTGCCGAATATAGGTTTTGGGTCCAGTTTCAATTCTAGTAACATTTGCTGTTTTATCAAGAACATGCAAATAATGGTAGGGAGGTATTCGATAAATGCTTTGTTTTGATGATTCATTTTTATCTTGTCCCATCTGAAATTATAAAAATGAAATGTATTAACAAAAAATATTCTAAAAATTTCATTTGACCATTTAGAACTTTATGGCACAATGTTTAGCAATGCATCATAAATAATACAGTCAGGTTTTCAATATACATTAAAAGGTTCAAAGAATGCATAAGTTAGACTAAGAAAACAACAACAATAATAATTAAAAGGTACTTTCGGATTACCCACAACTTCATGAAAAGTCACTAATTCACTGGCAAATTTGTTAATCAGCAAAAAACATTTGTTTAATGACAGATACTGTTCTGTTCCTAAATAACAATGAAAAGAAGTATTTTATTGGAAAAAAATTTATGAGAGGGAACAGAACCTATTTCATATTTACATTTTTATAACCGGTGGATACTGTTTAGAAAAATGACTGTTAAATACAAAGCTTGTAAATCTGTATGTGCTCAAACATGTATGCAGAACGTACACTGCGCAAAAAAAAGGGGGGGACAGTTCTATACCTCCCATTCTATCGGGTTCATTGAAAAAATTCAACTTGCAATTTTCATGTCTCAAAAGCACGACTCAGGATATTAGATTTATATGTAGCATTGTTCTAACATAGGTATTTTGACACAAAAATGGACATTTTCTGAAACAACATGCCAATTTTTTTCCATATTTCAATTCTATTAATCAAATTATGCCAAACTGCCAAGTTTTGTAAAAATCGAACAAGTAGCTTTTAAAAAATTAGCTCTCAAAATTTTAGCTCCTCAGTGTTAATTGAATTTCATATATATTATTAAACTTACGTCATTTCTTCCACCAGAATTCGAAATTTAGGCTTAATTCAAATATAAGTCACACACTTTTTTTTTTTTTTTTTTTTTTTTTTTTTTTACGATTTACTTTTAAAATTTGTATTTTTAAATATTTTTTATAAATTTTTCGAAGAAATGTTTGTATTATACCCTATAAAATTTATAACATTGTCTTAAAGTAGATGTATTTCTAGGCACACCTGCCAAAAATTTAAGTTTTTTTATTCAAAATTTCCCAAGATACACGTGAAATTACATATTGGCGCGTCTTGAAATTTGGCATATTCATTAAAAGCGATAATAACTCTAAATGTGGTTTATGCACTTTGTTAAAATTATTTGAAAGTATGAAATTGAACCTTTTTTTCTTGCTCGTGTACAATGAAAAAAAATAAGGAAAGGAAAATAGGTTGTTATAAATTAAGAAGTTTGCCAAGTGGCACAAACTGAAAAATGCGGCAAGATAAATTCTCAAATTTCTCAGTAAATTGTACACCAAATTTTACACTTTTTAATATTTAGACATAATTTGAGTAATAGAATCAAAATAGGGGAAAAAATAGGCACATCATTTCCGAAAAAGTCCAATTTTGTGTCAATATACCTATATCAGAACAATGCTATATACAAATCTAATATATATACAAAGTTGCACTTTTGAGACATGAAAAACACAATTTGAATTTTGTCAATCAGCCCAGTTGAATGGGAGATATAGAACTGTCCCATTTTCTTTTCTTTCCCCCCCCCACAGTGTACATGCATGGGTTACTTATTGTTGCATGTGTACCTAAAACTATGGCAAAACTGGCCAATTCCACTGAAAGTTGTAATCAAAGGGTGAGAGTAATCAGAAAGTATCTGCTAAGTTCTGTAACCTTTTCGCATGTAGAATCAGTATTATTACTTCAATAGAAATGTAATTCGCAACAATCACATAGCTAAAGTATTTATGTGCATATATATAAAATATCAGTTTGCCTCATAATATCCTTCTATGAGCTCACAGATAAATAAAGAGGCACTGGAAATAATTATACGGACTGTTACCTAAAAGTCGTCAAAAATTAACAATATCACCTCTTTAAATTTTAAGCAATGTAGGAATTAAATTATAATTATCATTGTAATTTATATATTTAAACATAATTTAAATTACAAAATAGTTTAATTTTGAAAACAAGAAATTTTATACCTTAGAAATTCCTATTTAATTTTACTATTCTATTAGAAAATATTAACAACTAATAATCTTTTGCAATATATATACACTGCAAAAAATTAATATGCTTAATATTTTAATGTAGGGAACTATAGCATATTTAATATAGTAATGTAGGGAAACTATAGTATATTTAATATAGTGATGTAGGGGAACTATAGTACATATAATATAGTAATGTAGGGGCACTATAGCACATTCAATATAGTAATGTAGGAAATTACTAGTGAATTAGTATTAATTAACTAATGAATACCAATACTAATGAATTACCAATGAATAATGGTTAATATTAATGAATTTGGTTTATCAAGCAGAGCTATACGCATTGACAGAGGCTTTGAACTGGATTAATAAAAAATTAACAGTTCGATGTTTTATAAATATTTATACTGATGCCCTATCTGCGCTTCAGGCACTCGCCCAACCAGATCATAAAAATCACCTGATTAATGAAATAAAAGACTTGTTTAAAAAGGATGAAAGAAAATATATTGTTCAATTACACTGGGCAAAAGCACACAGTAGAATTGTCGGAAATGAAAGAGCGGACACCCTTGCTAAAATAGCGGCACTTGGGGATGGGACCGATAATTTTGACATCCAAGATTCAAGAAAAAAGACCTTTGCTGAAATGGAAAACTGGATTTATACAAAATGAAATTTTTGCTGAGTGCCGTCTAATAAGAAAAAAAGAGTTAATGAAAAATGTAAAGTTAAACAAGAAGATGAATATTATAAATAATGTTGATATAAATCAGGTACTGACTAATCATGGGCGTTTCTCAGCTTATTTTAATCGGTTCCATCTACAGAATAATGACAAATGCTTAATTTGTGATAAGTTTGGGGATTGCCAGGCACTTCGTTGATGAATGTACGCTTACCTGCAATGCAAGAGAAAAATATAGAAATAATTTTAAGGGAAATTTTAAAAGGAACTACTCAAATTTGAAAGATTTTGCAGAGACAATAATGAAGATTATAAATACGAACAAAAACAGAACTGAAATTCGGCACCGAGACTCAGATTTTGGACTTTATACTTTTTTTTTTTTTTTTCTGGGCAGTCCTATTTTTTGATCATATGGCCGGCTTGTGCCAGCTAGGAGGATTAGGCCTGCGTCCATATAATAATAATAGTAATGAAGGAGAGCAAGCTGGCATAGCCTTCTGTCTGTATTGATTTGAATCCCAGAGAAGGTATGGATATTTCTAAATATGTAATGTTTTTGCAACTTGGAAGCATTTAAAATACTGTTGAGTGGACTCGAAAAGTTGGTGACAGGGAGAAGAGGAACAAGACACTCTCATATCCACCTCCCACAGTTCTCTCCAACCACCAGGAATTATTCTCATGACTTTATCTTCAACTCGTGATGATTAGTTTCCATAAAATTTAAAAACTGTTGAGATAAAATAAGGAAAACTATTTTAGACCATACCACCTAGTTCAAAGCAATTCGCTATATGCACTTGCAATGCCTCTGAAGAGATAACTATGGAGAAATTTATAATTGGTTATGCATAAATGCGGTTAATTTTCTCAAAATTAAATAAACTTTCATTTTGAAAGCATAATCTACTTTGTATCACCGTATGTTTATTTTTTGTGTTTGAGACAATGAAGTGCATGCCTCAAATAATACCAGACATTAAATATTATATACTTTACCATTAGGCTTTACTGAACCATGTCAATTAAAAAAGGGTGTAATAATATGTAAATAACAGATATATCACAAAATATAAAAAACCGAGGAACTTTCAGTGATTGTGTCCAAGACATAAGATATACTTTCATAGCCTAGAATTCTAGTCAAAGACCAGTTATGTTTACATTAATAAGAAATTGTAATCTCAAAACTAATTTGTAGAAAAAAAATCAAAATAAGACTGAAAGTCAATAATCCACCACTCTTTTAACCATAGGATTCTACTACATACCAGCTTTTAATACAATTTAATTAACAAAACAAAACATTAAAAAAAAATACAAGCATAAAAATATAATCACAATTTAAAATATGAAATATGTACTGCATAAGAAAATAGGACTTCTCATAATATTTAAAGAAACAATGGTTAAAATTTTATTTAAAAGAACTGAATTATGCAGAACTAAACTATCAATTTGAACCACATGCCATGAAAAATTGCCATGCAAACTAAATAATCACTAGATACCATATTCTTCATAAAAATGCAATTTAAAATTTGTATGGACACAGGTTATCCATGCGTTTAATAACAGAATTAGATAGTACATATACAGCAAATCCTTGCCGAATGTTTGGGTTACGTTGTTAACACATTGCACATATAGCAAAATCTCATATCACAAATTTAACTTTCCATGGGAATAAAACGGTAGGTATAATTCAGATCAGGAAAATATGTATAGTTTTAAGCAAACCTAAATATTGTTGTAAAAGGAAAAAATAATGTAAATGTTAATTGAAAGTATTTTTATTACTGTGTAATAAGTACGCCATAAAATATTTTTAAAAAAAACTGGTAATTTTTGCTTGAGACAATAATTAATGCAACTCCTTAAAAGTTTTATGGTTAAGGAGAGTAAAGTATTTCAGCGTCTCTCATAAACCGTCTTCTTGTTTTTTTCATTTGGGTCAATCTACATTGCAAAATTAGAATTAGAATCTGTCTTTTTTAACAATGCATGTAGCTTCTTGTAAATTAAAGCAATATCTTCTTCCCCATCACTCTTTTCATTGTCCACTGGTGTTATGAGATAATACAGTTCTTCATTCATCATTTATCGATTAATTCTTTCACTTTTCCTTCTTCCATACCTAGACATCCTTTGGTGGCATTTGCTTTTCCGAACTATATTCTCTAGTGATTTCTTTAGTATTATTTTCAGTCAATGGAAATTCTTTAAAGTTGTTGAAAACTTCTGGCCAGAACTCATGCTATCAAGAATTCAGTGTTGATGAATGAGCACTGAAATACGTATTAGTGAAA